GATAAAGGAACCCTCCTTTAAATTACACTTAAGAAAGTGTAATTTATTAATAAAAAGAAAGAGATTCAAACTCTTATATTTTCTGATGCTTTATTAAAATATATAATACGATACTATAAGTATATTTTTTTGTATTATATATATAATTATATTTTACTTTTATTTATCCCGTGTAACTTCCACTACACGAACTATATTTCGACTTTACACTAATCAGAGCTATGTATACGAAGATTTCTATTATAATATTCTATTTTAATAACTAGAAGAGATTATAATAAAAAAGCAAACTTATTATATATACTCCTTTTAGTATATAACGAGTGGTTAGTACTAATCCGAGAGAATATTCACCGTGATATAGTGATTCACGATTACTAGTAATTACTTATTTATATAGTCGAGTTTTAGACTATAATCCTTATATATATTTGTATCCTTTTTTGTATGATTAGCTTAAATTTATATTTTTACTTCTCTTTATTAAGGAATATATAGCACGTCTATAGCCTATAATATCAGGGCTATAATGACTTATCTTTTTCCTGTTTATTAAATCTAATATAAAGGAAGAATACTTTATTATAATATATTTAAAAATAAAGCAGAGGATTTCGTTAATTTATAGAATCTCCATAGTTTCATAATATTAACTGAAAATAACCGTGTAACGCCTGTATTTTAAAAATAAAATATTCAAATTATAGTAAGGTTTTTCGTGGATCATCGAATTAAATAACATACTTCACTACTGGTGTCAGAAACGGCCTAGTGATTTCAGTTCCTGCGTTGCTATATTACTCTTGAGGTGGAATGCTTTTATTTTCATTTATAGACTAAATAATATCTAACCTATAGCATTCAGCATTATCTGCAAAGACTACTAGGGTACTGAATCCTATTCGTGATCTATACCTTCGTCCTTTAATATCAGTTTTTATATAAAAGACTACCTTCGCCTTTACTAGTCCTTTTAGTATCATAGAATATTATCTCTCCACTTTAAGTACTATCTCCTTATATAAAACTCTAGTTAAATATTACCTTTTTTAGGATATTTTAACCGTCTAGGTACCCTTTAAACCTATTTAAAATAAATAAAACTAGTCTTATACGTATTACCGCGACTACTAGCACGTAATTAGTTAAGACCTTTATATATATATTATCATTATCTATATATACTTAAAATTTTATTCGAATAATTAATTAAATTTTACTTATATTTATATTTTCAAACTTCTTATTTACTTAAGTTGCTAGTTCAGCCGTTAGGCCATTAACTAAGATTCCTCACTACTATACGTTACTTTGTATTAGGCTTTTTTCAGACCTAATATAGTCGATCAACCTTTTAGTTACGACTACGAAAATTTTGAGCTAGTTAGGCTATCACCCTAACTACTACCTATTTCGAAAATATTTGTTTTCTTCTTAAAGCGGATTTAATAAATCCTTTCTTATATAATGGATCTTAGCCCTCACTTTAAGGTTAGCCATAAAATATCATATACTCACCTGTATACCACTTATTAATAAAAAGAAATTCAAATTAAATTAATCGTTCGATTAGCATATATTAAGTACTTAAATAGCGTTTATTCAGAGCCATCACTAAACTCATCTATTTATTATATTTTTTTTAATATATTAAACATATTACTAATAATTCTAAATTATTAGTATTAGGGTAAAAATATAAGCTATATTACGAAATATTAATCTAATTATATAACTAAATAAATTTACTATATAGGATTTCTTAGTTTGCAATTATAATATATTTTATATAAAAACTACCTATATTTATTTTTATTTTCTAACACAATTCCTTACTTTTATATTTAATAGTATATATATATTTCTTGTTTTATAACTTTTCTAAATAGAAAATATTTTGTTTATAATTTATCTATTTTATTAGAATTATACACCTAATCAATTATCTATTACAATTTAATATGTTAATATTTCATTTTATATAATTTTTCTTTTATAAAATACAGAATATATAAAGCTATTTTAATGTAATTAATATTCAGGTGGTCTATAGTTTGGATCTATAGCCTGTTATTAAGTAATAA